TCTCACATCTGTCATGGATACACTCAAACCCAATCCACGTCTACGAGCATAGCATGGCAATAAGCATAACGTAGTAACTCCGAGGGTTTGAATGCAAGACAATAGGTTCCTACCTCATCAATTACTTCCCAATACCCACATGTTATCAATCCTACTCGTGCAATGTTTGAGGCTGAAACTAATGCATAAAAACTGGGTATGAAAGGGATATGATCAAACTGTGAACTTGCCTTGTACTGTTGATGAAGATAATTCGCACTCATAACTCCTGATAGTTCTACTCGTCACACTTCGTTCAATCTATCGTGAGCAAACAATAATAACCACACATAAGCAATCACTCAAAAGATTGGAAAGAACGAAGAAAACAATTCGGAAAACATCAAAACCAAGCAAATAACTCTTGCAACAAAAAACAATTTCTAACAGTACCAAAATTAAGTGAATTTGGCCTTATCAAAAAGTTTAGGTCAAGAATTTCGATTTGCAAAAGGAATCAACTAAATCGAAGTTACAAAACTCAAGTTATGATCAAAAAAAGTTTGAATATGAATCTGAACAAATTTTGAAATTTAAAAATTTCAAAAAGTTGATGTGACAGGTTCACTGGATGGGTGAAAACAATACAAAACTATAGGCGCTGGTTTCATCTAATTTGGATGAACGAGTAAAAAGTTATGGCTATTTAAAAAATTAGGGCCAAGATGTTTTACGAAAGAAAAATAGGTACGGCTAAACTACGGGAGTATAAAAAAACAAAGAAAGGTATCTTTATAAGGTAGAGAAAAAGAGGCTTAGGGGTCAAAGACTAGACAATGTGGGACTAAACATAGATGAACAAATAAAATGAACGAGGAACCGCATGGCTAAAATCAACACCGGCCGGCCGCGCACTGCAGTTTTTTTTTAAAAAATTTTTCTTTTAAGAAAAAAAGTAAAAAATATATCTGAAAATAATGTTTTTTTTTCTCCAAGCATAGCCGAAAAATAAATAAAAACAGTTATGGGCCTGTCTGCTGACTATGTTATACATGTGGGCGACGGATAGTTATAGGCCGCACACGCAGTTTGTTTCTTTAACAATTTTTAAAGAAAATAATATAAACCAACTAAAGTAAAAAAATACTATAGGCATATAATATATCGGAATTTTCATAAAAAGATTTTCCACAACTTGAACATTATTCTAGCATCAAATAAGATCTACAAAAGTTTAAATAAAGCAAAGAGTGCTACAGCTATAATAAAACCTAGTAAAAATCATTTTAAAAATATCAAACTAAATTCAAATTTATTTCTCCAATTTTCTAATGTAGGAAATCATTTTACCCTATTTTTCATATATTTTATTTTTGGAGAAAAATAATTTGAATAAAACCAAATAACTCCAAATTGAAAATACTTTCAAAGGAACCTTGAATTTGATTCTTTTAAACTTCCAACTCATATTTCATATGTTTTTGAAGAAGTCATTTTATCTTCTCTCATGAAAATCATTGAGTTGCTTGAAGTTTCTGAATTTGAAATATTTCCAAATGAAATTCAAATCTTTTCAAAAACCCTTTTCATTTAGTTAAATGGAAGAAGTCATGTCATCTTCTCTCTAGGGTTTTGTATTTTGAAAAGAATTTGAATTCATGGAGATCATAAATGCAAAAAGTTTGGAAAAGTCCTTTTATTCCCTCTCATTTAACTTTCGAAAAGTTTTAATTTCACTCACTTTCAGTCAATCAATCACACAACAATCAAACAAACAATCGAAACTACCTATTTATTATAACATTCCAAAATTTAGAATTTTGGGATGTTACATCCACGTACTCAAAGATTTGAACCATGCGTTCAGAAGATTTACAACACATTGCAAATAATCTGCCAGATTCATTTACTGACTATAAAGGTGTCACACAATCCTACAATCCTGTAAAAGTACGACTGAAAGAGTGGAGGTACCAAAAAAATCCACTCCACTCCCCGTTCAAAGCAATAGGGGGAGATGTATGGCAGAAGTACATCAGGATTCAACTTCTTGCAAGCAAGGATGTCAAGGCCTATGAATCAGTAAATACAAGTCAACTTCACGTTGACAGAAACCTAATGGGTAGTATACACCTAGTGGACGGGAAACCTCCACCAACCCAGGTCATAGTGCACACAATGACCGGGACATCGGAATACCCGACTCAATCGCATTGGGAAATCGCGAGCAGTCACTATGGGTATCGATATTTCCATCAACTATATATTGATATATAGATTCTGGAGAATCATATAACCGGAAATCTACAGTTGTCAACATACATTTCTCAACTAGATTGCAAAACCTTTCAGATGATTCAGATCCAAAGACCATGGCCATGGCAAAGTGTGAACAACACTCGGAGTGAACTCAAGGAAAGAGTATAATTTAGGTAGAAATGATCTTGCTCAATAATGGGAAGGTATTCATAAGCAATACCTACACCAGTTTTCTTCTGGAAACATCATTGAGAACAGTGAGGTGGTGAAACAAAGAGCAAGCATTATAGCACAAGGGTTCACGCAGATACCCAATTATTCTCCAGAGGTGGAATCTCTTTTCGATAACTTATATCATTGGCAGTACAAAATCATCTACCTCTGCAGTTGATAGATGTAGTGATCACATATCCATGTGGATCACTAGATTCAGACATATATGGTTGATTCCCGATGGATTCTCACTTCTGAATCGAAATGCAATACGCAACATACATTGTGTAAAATCAATAAGTCACCATATGGCTTATTATTGTCGATACATTTGGTATAACCGACATAGTGAGTTCCTTATACACAAGGATTACTCCTACAATGATGATTATCCATGTTAGTGTGTCTGCAATGACGACACATGTAATCATCTAACTGATGGAGTTTAAAATAAAGGATTTGGGTAAACCAAAACATCGCTTGTTACTACAAATTGAGCACCTTCATTCATACATTATGGTATATTATGTTGTCTATATCCATAATATATTGGAGAAATTCATTATGGACAAATTTTATCCATCCATAACTCTCATGGTAGTTCATTCTCTAGATATAGAGAAAGGTCTATTTAGACCAAGAGATGATGGAAATGAGATACTGGGACTCAACGTTCCATAATATCATTGGATCCACCAAACACAATTGATTGGTACTTAAGAATATCTTTCAATATCTCCAAGGCATTAAACATCTTGTCCTGGTTTTTCAGTTTCATAGAAATGCGAACACCGATATCATTGGATACATCGATCAAATCCCCACTATGTGAGATCGTAGACAAGCTTAGTGTTCCTACTAGGTGTGATGGCCCTCTCATGAAGAGTCTTCGAAACAGACCTCATGGCTACATCGACCAACCATTATCTCAACGATAATGTTTCTTGTGTTGCCCGGATGCAAACAGATTACATAATAAGCAATATAACTATATTGCATATCTTGCAAGTCAAATCATGTGACTGATTTGTTCACCAGGTCTCTACCAACTTCTATCTTCTATAAATGTGCTCATGGAATTGGTATATAACGGCTTCGGAATACGCAAGAATCAGGGGGAGTATCTTCCTAAATTGTTCCTGTTGAAAGCATCATATATACTCTTTTTCCCTTCATGAGTTTACTTTCTAGGTTCTCATAAAGGTTTTTAATGAGGTAATATCAACACAAGACCATATGTCATATTTTCTGTTTTCCCCACCGGGGTTTCTAAGAAAGTATATGTGACATATTTATTGTCCTCTAAACTCTATGAGTTTTCTCATATGGAGTTAAAAGAGACTAACCATTATATGTTGCATCATTTTCTCCTTATTTTTCCCACTGGATTTGAAGGAGTTTTAGCAATATATTACACTACCCCTCATATTTTCGCCATAAGGTTTTTGGAGGAGACTCTTTTGAGTTAATGATACTACATGGACAAGCAGAGATTAGGGGGAGTGTTAGAATTAAACACATGTTTAATTAGAAGGGAATCTCCCCTTGTTAACTGCTACGGTTTCCTGATGGCAACCGACGCAGCCTCTCCCTTGGCGTCCTTTGCCCCGACGCTCTCGCGTCCCTTTGTATCATCGCGTCCCTACGGGATGTATATATTGTAACAAATCCTATCAATGAGAACAACTATTCTACTATTTGTCATTTGCCTCTTGCAATTACTCCGAACAATGTGCATCGGCTGCGTAGCGGTTGGAGATGGAAAGATCCCCACACCTAAAGTTTTGATTTTTTTTTTTGCAATGTGCAAAATCGCCCTACTAGTGGGGAGAGGGGCCGATTAGGGCATCTCCAACAGGTTGTATGTTAGTCTTGTTGGTAAAATGTCCATGTCATCAACCAACAAGCTATCATACAACTACTCCAATAGGTTGTATGTAAGTTATCCAATAGATGGTGAGAAAATAAATGTGATTGCTCTCTATTTCACCTTGGACCTTGTGCATATGTTGTTGGTTAATCTACATACAATTTTGCTCTCTCTCTCCATATTTATTACATGCCACATCATCACTATATCCTAGGTGGCAAATTTACCAACACACGTATCTTACAACTGTTGGAGATGCCCTTACTGGGAGCTCCACTCCTGACATTTTAGGGGATGGGTTGGTGTAACTCTCAAGGCTGTATTTTTTTTGCAGACAAGTGTTTTTTTGGATGATTTAAAGATGCGCTTAGGACACCCAGACCGTGAGCTAAAATGAGATGAAAGACAATAGGAATCAAAGAACACAAGCTAGATATATTTATGCATGCAGACATGACAGAGTTACTTGATTCCCATCAGATTACTTGATTTCCCAACAGACAACTTGGTTCAGGAATTCAACAGATTACTTAGTTCAGGAATTGGAAGTCTTTAAGCAAAAGGTGAGACGCTCAACGACAGGTAGCTCAAAAGGTGAAAAGTTCAACGACAACTCGACTAGAGACCAGATCCAGCACTCCGGCCTCTCCTTGCAAGTCTGCAACACTCGAGCAGTTACTCAGCCTTGGTGCTTCGAGACATCTTTCATGGCATCATAAGCTTTCCTGCATATTCAAAAGCGAACCATGAGAGACCAGGAAACACCCGATGGTATATGTCACTTGTAACACTTTTGGAGCAAATGCACAACAAAAAAAAGTGGACAAGAAAAGGCCGTTAAAAAGGGCAAAAAAAAGCAATCATCGAAGGTCATACACGAACTGCAAACTGAACAGAGTTTAATTAACATATTCGCAAGTTCTCAAGGTAAAGACATGTGTTTATCCACAGCATAGTTAAGGGACGAATACTATAAAATCTAAAAAACAGGATGAATACCATATATAAGTCTTGTAACTAACGATCAGCTGTGCTGAAGCATGTAACTCAGTATACTTTAGTTAACCACCAATAATGAAAGTACATCTTCAAAATGCATGATGTAACCAATGAGGATTCTGCCCAAACGAAGAAAAAAAACAGTTTGCAAAAAACACAGATGGGATCCCCCACAAAAAAAATCCACAGATGGGATACCGTAATGCGTCCTCCATCTCAGTGTTGGCGGGGTCCAACTTGAGTCCATCCAAGAAATGCTCGCTTGCACCTTTGTAATCCTGAGATAATGGTAAAAAATAATTAGCAGACGAACTGACAAAGTGGAAAAAACATCCGACAGTATCTTCTATGTAACCTTCAGCAGCATCAGAGCTGCACCCTGCCGGTAAAAGGCTTTTGGGCAGTCAAGCAGCAATTTTCTGCATTGGTTAGCATCCCACAAAGCCTTGTCTCCCTCGCCCATGCGAAGCCAACAAAGGCTCCTGTTTGAGTACAATGTTGCATTGTTGGGATCAAACCTTATTGCCTACAGCCAACAACTCAAATCAACAGTGACCATAAAATAAATAAATAAAATAATCTGCACATGATTTCATAGAGATTTGAAATAGTATAGATAATTACTTGAGCCAGTATAAAAGTAAACCACGAATGAGCAAGCCTGGAATACAGAGCCAATTAATCCAACACACAATTACCAACAAATGTTGAGGTCATACCATGTGCATAAATTATATTTCCACGTGTCTTCCAACAAGTTCATAACACTTTTTACCACTTCATTTATTCATTATTATACAACTATATGACAGTTGAGTACAAACAAAAAACTAATGCATCCTCAACTAGATGCATCATCATCAGATTTACACGCTATGATATCTACCCTCATCGTGTTTATGACTAACTGGAAGCACAACTCTCACTGTGATTTGTAACAAAAATCGGTGATCTAGGCTGTAGACCCTGCGTGTGGATCTTGCGCCCTGTGTTTCAAAATCATTGATACCAACCACTCAGTTCAGCATGAAAATTTGGGTATTTGTATAAGTTTCAACCACCTAGTTCAGCTTGAAAATCTGGGTATTTGGTAAGTTTGTCCAAAAGAATATTTCAGGTTAATGTATTTGCATTCAAGAAAAATGAAAAATCAGGTCATAATATATGAAAATTGAATTTTGCTGGCTTCGGGTAGAGAGCTCAGCAAAAAAGAAAGGTACACAATCCGTATTGAAACATATAGACTAACTGAAATGCTGGGAAGGGAGAATGTAAGAAGTATATGATGCTAAAATATACCATAGTGTAGCATTTTGCCGCACAAAGATATTGCTCCGTCTTGAAAGCAACATTCGCAATTTTCTTAAACCCTGCAGCTCTGATTTTCCTTTTTGACATAGGCTCATCCTGAATCATCAAGATATTAAAATTAATGAAGACTTCAGTTGGGAAAAAATAGAGAGGTTTCAAAGAAACACTTAAATTTGTCTTGTAAATGTCTGGAAATACGGATCCATTGCATAAAAAAATATTTGCTCACATTTACTGACAACTTCACCAGTTTCCACCAGCCTTAACCACCAATAGGAAGGTCACATTTACATAATTAATAATTGGCAAGGTTGTACTGATCTCCACCATTTAAACTTCCCACACACATTGTAGGATCCTATGTACCATCTACTGTGTATACATAACCTAGACAAACTTTCCTCATACCCTCTTGTACACATTGATTGATTACATATTAGGTTGGTATTATTTAATATTCATTTAATTCAACTAACGCGAGCATTTTGTGCGTTTGAACCATGTTGTTCCAGAAATACTTACAAAGGCAACTGTGAAAATAAATACGTTGCAAGCTTCACAAATATGTGATGATTTATTTGCTAGTGACCGTTAACATACCCCATGTTTGACAAAAGCCAATTAAAACCAACCAAGCATGGTAACTTCTCTTTTCTGTATGTTGTCTTGTAGCATGAACAAACTATTAACATGAGTCCAAAAGAGTAGTATTCACCCATTAATGAGCCCTTGTGTCCAGAAATACATGAACAAGTAAATTTTTTTTTATCAAATCTATAGCGAACAACTTGCACATTCGGGATTTTGACCTATAATCATTGCTTGGGATAGTGGTGGGCTGGTGCCTAGCTAGCTTGATTTATTGCCAAAGTGAGTTCTAGAACGTTGTATTGTCATGGACTGTCCTACAATGTTCACATCACAGGGAGCGAGTGGAGGTTGGCACCAAGAAGCTGAAGTGGTTTACCAGGGAATTTATGACTCAAATTGGGCCACCCACTTGTAATTCGATGGTACATTGGTTGCTCTTCCCACCTTTTGGTTTTCTTAATGGTTTTGGTCTCTCCCACTTTCAGATGAAACCAATAAGTTGGGCTATATGCATTCATGTGTTAAACACATCAATATCTACATGGCTGGCGGATATCTCCATGAGGCGCATCTGGTTAGGTAGTTAGAGTATAATGTTTATCACTTGTATCTCTTATCTCTACCTCCTTTCTTTATCTGCAAGAATGTAATCTCAACCGAATGTATGCGCTGTTATGGAGGTGCGCCCCATCTATATAACACGAAGCCGTCGGCCTGAGAAGGCAAGACGTTCCGCTAGTTCGCACATGGTAATCAGAGCCCCATCTCTTCCCATCTACTGAGATCCCATCTACTGAGCCTAGCCATGTCTTCCTCCTCCTCCTCCAGTGCTTCCCAGACCACCCTCAATGGGCAGGTCACCGAGAAGCTAACACGCACGAACTACGTGCTCTGGCGCACGCAGGTCACTCCTCATCTGTGCGGGGCCGGCGTTTTCGGCTACGTCGACGACACCACACCGGAGCCGGCCAGGCTTCATGTCACCAAGGACAAGGATGGCAAAGAAAGCGCTGAGCCCAACCCTCTCCACTCAATCTGGGTCCGGGAGGATCAACAGGTGCTGGGCTACCTACTCAGCACCCTCTCCAAGGAGGGTGACCACGGTAACCACGGCGCACGCGCTCTGGACAGCGGTGGCAGGTATGTTTTCCTCGCAGTCCATGAGCCGCGTGAATAATATCAGGACGGCGCTCATCAATGCGCAGAAGGGCAACCAGACGGTTGCCGCCTACTTCGCCTCTCTCCGTGGCCTCGCCGATGAGCTTGCCGCTGCGGGGAAGGCCATCCAAGACGACGAACTCATCTCCTACATCATCCACGGCCTCGACGTTGACTACCAGCCCCTCGTCTCCGCCCTCGACGCACGCGTCACGCCGGTCTCCCTCGACGAGCTCTACGCCATGCTCAGTAACTTCGACCAGTGCATGGCCCAGTTCAATCACTCGGGCAGCGGCGGCTTCCGCTCCTCCGCCAACGCCGCGGTGCGTGGCCGTGGTGGTGGATCACGTGGCCGTAGCTCCTCTCACGCCAAGGGGCGATCTGGCGGACACGGTGGTGGCGGCAACAGCGGCGGCGGCCATAGCCGCTCTGGTGCATCTCGCGGTCGTCGTGACGGCGGTCCACCTCGGGCCCGACCGGAGCTGCCTCGCTGCCAAATTTGCGGTAAACCAGGGCATACCGCGAAGGATTGCTGGTACCGTTATGATGAAGACGACGAGGACTCCCAAGATGAAGAAAAAGTGGCTGCCGCGGCTGATGGATCCTACGACATCGACACAAATTGGTACGTCGATAGCGGCGCCACCAATCACATCACCAATGAACTTGAGAAGGTCACGATGAAAGACAAATATCGTGGCAAAGATCACATCCACACGGCAAGTGGAGAAGGTATGCAGATTTGTCACATTGGTCATTCTACATTTCATACCCCTCACCGTCCAATTCATCTTAAGAAAATTTTGCATGTCCCTAGTGCTGCCAAAAGTCTCCTCTCTGTTCACAGAATTGCCCTTGATAATCATGTTTTCCTCAAATTTCATCCTTATTTCTTTTTGATCAAGGACCAGGCCACGAAGAAGGTTCTCTATTGAGGTAGATGTGTTCGAGGGCTTTACCCGTTGATTCCTGAGCTCAGGAGACTCAATAAACAAGCCAATGGTGTTGTCAAAGTTTCGTCAACACGGTGGCACGATCGATTAGGGCATGCTGCTTTTTCTTTAGTTGAAAAATTGCTTAGGAAAAATAAACTCCAATTTGTTGGTGAGCGAAATATCGAAACTATTTGTGATTCTTGTCAATGTGCTAAAAGTCATCAATTACCGTATCCAGTATCTACTAGTGTCTCTACCAAACCACTTCAATTGATCTTTTCTGATGTGTGGGGTCCTGCTCCCACTTCTGTTGGTAGACATGAGTGTTATGTAAGCTTTATAGATGACTATAGCAAGTTTGTGTGGATTTATCTTCTCAAAAAGAGATCTGATGTCTTTCAAGTTTTTCAAAACTTTCAAGCCTTGGTTGAACGAAAATTTGATAGCAAAATTATTGCAGTCCAATCGGACTAGGGGGGGAGTATGAAAAACTCAACTCCTCCTTCCAAACACTTGGCATATCACACCACGTCTCATGTCCTCATGCCCATCAACAGAATGGCTCCGCTGAACGGAAGCACAGACACATAGTCGAGGTCGGGCTAGCTCTCCTGGCAGGAGCCTCCATGCTCCTCAAGTTTTGGGATGAGGCCTTTCTTACTGCTGTTCACATCATTAATATGCTTCCTAGTCGAGTCATCAATAATCAAACTCCAGTAGAAAGATTTCTTCACATCAAACCAGACTATAAATCTCTTCGCGTGTTTGGGTGTGCTTGTTGGCCCAATCTTCGCCCATACAACAAAAGAAAACTCATGCTTCGCTCAAAACAATGTGCTTTTCTAGGGTATAGCCCTCAACACAAAGGTGTCAAGTGTTTAGATATTTCCACTGGTCGTGTCTATATATCCCGTGACGTCGTTTTTGACGAAACAAAATTTCCTTTCGCCACCCTTCACCCAAACGTCGGTGCTCGCCTCCGAGAAGAAATTCTCCTCTTACCTACTCATCTTACCACCATTGATCAAGGGGGTCTGAATTCTGATGATCAAATGTTGACTAATCCTGCTACTAATGGTGTGCATGAGTTTTCTGATGATGTTCCAGGAGATAATAGTGAAAATAATGAAGAAAACAGTGAAAATAACACGCCGACAGGTCCATATCGCATGTGTCCGCATCCAGGAGGCAAATCCTCCTCGGGATCGGCTCCGCAGCAGCAGTTCAGTCGATCTCCCTCGGGATCGGCGCCGGCAGACACGCCAGAGCCGGCAAACGCGCCAGACGCGCAGGCGACAGGGCCAGCCGACCGTGCGGCTGTCTCCAGACGCGCGTGGGTGCTCCAATTGGCGGCGGCCCAAGTGCCTCTCCGCGCCAACCCCCGTCCGACACGCGGCAGCCCGCGGTTCGCCAGGACGGCGCGCGCTTCCGTGACCAACCGGTCACGTACAAGTGGCGCGACTAGGTTCGCCGGCCTGACACTGGGTCCGGATCTGCTGCGGGACCGGGCGCGGACTCCTGTGCACCCATGCGCGCGTCGAAGGCTGGCGTCCGCCTCGAGGATGATCCGCCATCATCCACCAATGATGAGGCCCCGGGATCTTCTGTGCCTACAGAACATGCTGCACCTGATCAAACTGCCACAGAAGATCCGGCAGGAGCAGATTCTGCTACAAGAGCTTCTGCTTCGGGATTTTCTATGGCCGAAGATCCTGATGCTGCACCGTCACAGCGTACACGACTACAGCATGGGGTAATACATCCTGTTAATTATAAACACATAACCAAATACGGTATGGTTTGTTCTATAGGTGAACCCCAGACGCTCCAGGAAGCACTTGGTGATGAAAGATGGAAAAATGCTATGAATGAAGAATACATGGCACTCAAGAAAAATAAAACTTGGCATTTGGTTCCCCCACAGCAAGGTAAAAATTTAATTGACTGCAAGTGGGTATTCAAAATAAAGAGGAAATCTGATGAAACTATTGATCGCTACAAGGCTAGGCTCGTTGCAAAGGGCTTTAAACAACGGTATGGCATAGATTACGAGGACACGTTTAGTCCAGTTGTTAAAGCTGCCACTATCCGTCTTGTTTTGTCTATTGCTGTTTCCAGGGGATGGAATCTCAGGCAACTTGATGTTCAGAACGCGTTTCTTTACGGTGTTCTGGAAGAGGAGGTATATATGAAACAACCTCCTGAGTTTATAAGTAAAAGTGCACCCTATCATGTCTGCAAGTTGGACAAAGCACTTTATGGTTTGAAACAGGGACCAAGAGCATGGTACTCCCGTCTCTGTCACAAAATGCAAACACTCGGTTTTGTCCCTTCAAAGTCTGACACCTCTCTGTTCATCTACAACAAGTTCAATACATGCATGTTTGTTTTGATATATGTTGATGATATTATTGTGACAAACTCATCTGATGAAGCTATCACAGGGTTGTTAAAAGATTTGAGTAGAGACTTTGCCTTGAAGGATCTTGGAGACTTGCATTATTTTCTTGGGATTGAAGTAAAGAGGCACAAGGATGGACTTCATCTCTCCCAAGAAAAGTATGCAGTTGACTTGGTAAGAAAAGCTGGACTACAGGGTTGTAAACCTACACCTACTCCACTGTCCAGTTCAGAAAAATTATCTCTCACACAAGGAACTCTCTTGAATCAAGAGGATAGCACAAAATACAGAAGCTTGGTAGGAGCTCTTCAATACCTTACTCTTACTAGGCCTGATATTTCTTTTGTTGTCAACAAAGTATGTCAGTTCCTTCATGCACCTACAACTGTTCATTTGACTGCTGCCAAACGGATAGTTAGATATGTCAAAAACACATTAAGCATGGGTCTCAATTTTAGCAAGTCATCCTCTACACTTGTCAGTGCATTCTCTGATTCTGATTGGGCAGGCTGTCTTGATGATAGACGCTCTATTGGTGGTTTTGCTATTTTCTTTGGACCCAACTTAATTTCATGGTGTGCTCGCAAGCAAGCTACAGTCTCCAGATCTAGTACAGAGGCAGAATATAAAGCATTGGCAAATGCCACGGCTGAAATCATATGGGTTCAATCCATGCTCAAGGAACTTGGTATAAAAATTAAACAAGCTCCATGTTTGTGGTGAGATAACCTTGGTGCCACCTATCTCTCAGCTAATCCAGTGTTTCATGCCAGGACCAAACACATTGAGATAGATTTTCATTTTGTCAGAGAAAGGGTGGCTCACAAGAAACTTGACATTCGTTTTGTGCATTCCAGTGATCAAATTGCAGATGGATTCACAAAGGCATTGCCGGTCAAGAGCTTTGAAAACTTCAAGTATAATCTCAACTTAATAGAGTTGTGATTAAGGGAGGGTGTTAAACACATCAATATCTACATGGCTGACGGATATCTCCATGAGGCGCATCTGGTTAGGTAGTTAGAGTATAATGTTTATCTCTTGTATCTCTTATCTCTACCTCCTTTCTTTATCTCCAAGAATGTAATCTCAACCGAATGTATGCGCTGTTATGGGAGGTGCGCCCCATCTATATAACACAAAGCCGTCGGCCTGAGAAGGCAAGACGTTCCGCTAGTTCGCACATCATGCACAAGCCAGGGGTAAGAAAAGCTTCCATTATATCTAAAAAAAGGAGAATAGTGTCTTCTTATCTCCTTAGAACTCCTAATGGGAATGCGAGGGTTGCAACTTATAATAAAAGTGTAGGGGTGTAGAGTTCCAAAAAACAGCGCATGTACTGCATGTTGTAGTGCGTATTAGAACTCTAAAATAATGATTCATCAAAAAACAGAACTGTACAAGCATGTAGTGTCAAAAGGGGGTAAATCTTACATCATCAGGAAAATGGCTGGCAGAAATGTCCTCCATCAAGCAATTGACAAAGTCAGTTGAAACAAGTTTTTCAGAATGGAGATTCTTTAAAGAATGGGTTAAAGCTGCCTTGTGATCAGCACCGGCCTGTCACAGAAACAGATGTTAAATGTCTGTCCTCGGGATAACCTGGGTAAGTGAGTCCTCAAGATGAACTCGGCAGCATTTCAAACTTCCGCACTTACAGGAATAAATAGCAACCATAGTGCCACCGTTTCAGCATAAATTAACAACTAGTTTATTTAGTTGGTTTCACTGTCAGAATACTTGTGGTCACCTCACTGAGCACAAGTGCTTAAAGAAGGGGTAAAGTACCCACTGCAAGTGGGACAAATAGCAGTGTACATAAAACAAAGGCAGCATAAGAAGTTGAACATTCTCATCTTAAGCGAGATTTTTCTTTCACTACATAGCCAACAGATCAGACTCTTCAAATTTTGAGGACTAGACAAGGCTAAGATGAAGGTACAATACCTTAAGCAAGAGAAGCATACAGTTCATTGAGGCACCACCTACAGCTGCAATAAGAGGTGTTTGACCATTTACCAGTTTGTTGCACTGGTGAGAAAAAAATTAAGATATTAGTTCCTCTAGTCAAAATGGTAATCAAGTGATATAGGCAAAAACGGACACATCAAGATCACTAGAATTAAACAGCTTTCAAGGCATTACAAAAACCATGACATTGGCAACTTATTTAATAGATTACTAGCATTTCGTCAAACCTTGAAATTTTTTATGGCACTTTAAAAGTGAGCACCAGCACAAGATAGAGAAGATTTGTGGCAAATACGGAAAAAGGCAATTTCATCAAGAAGTTACTTTTAACGTATTGACATTTAAGGGACCAAAAGTGATAAATATGTAAGTAGAATGTTGCATACGTTGACAGCATAACTATTCCTAATGCAAGGAAACAGATCCTAGATTTGATAGATATACAGTGCTGTGAATTTAAATAGAAGTTGATGAAGAACTTCGACACTTGTTATGATGGCACGATCTAACTAGTGATACTTCTTGTTAGCTAGGCATTGGGCTTTTTGGTAGATTTTCGTTTTTCTTGGCCTTTGTTTGTACTTTTCATTATCTTGATGTTTACTCTCTAACGCAAAATGACACACTTGACACTTCAATGTGTGTTTAGAGAGAAAAATAGTTAAATGCGCAGAACAAGTTAGCTAACACTGCTCGCAAATGAGTCCAAGCCTTCTATGATCTTAAATGCAAAAACAAGAAAGTAGAATCAAGCAACCAGACAACAATAAGTTAATAGTTTTCACAAAAAAAAAAACTTAATAGAGCACGAAAAAGACAGCTAATGTGTTTACTTTATCAGAACACAAGAAATTAAAGTTTGCCATGCACATTCACCTGTCCAATGCGAAACTTAAGGCAGAAACATATACACTCATAAACTTACATCCGCATTGTGGTCCAATAAAATCTTCATAATGTCCGCATCCCCGTTAGCAGCAGCACAATGAAGTGGTGTCCCACAAAAAGCTACTGGGTCGATATAGGCTCCTTTAGCAAGCAATAGTTTAACAGTTTCACGATCTCCTGAAACAAGATGGACAAACTTGCTGGATAAGAGGATAGGTGTTTCTGTGACAATTCTCATTTTCAAAGAAAATGAATTCATGAATTTGTTACAACAGAGGATAAGTATTTCTCCGGACAATATCTTTCTTTTGAAAAGTCTTATGCACCTCACTCTGCCTTGAACATGTGCCATAAATAATGTCTTGTTTGGACAGGAAGGAATTAAAGCTAATACATATAATTTATTACCATATGGAACAAAGAAAAATAGGTCCTAGTACAATACTAAACCACACCATCGTACAAACTTGGAAATTCAGAAGACAAGAAAAGTTGCAGCACGCAAAACCAAAACAGAGGCATGTGTTTATAGAGGTAGACCTGATATAGTGGCCTGATGTAAAGGGGAGATCCCATCACTGTTGACTTTGTTTGGATTGGCACCATGATCAAGAAGATATTTGGCAATACCCACATGCTTACAAAGTATCGCAAAAAACAGAGGTGTTTTACCTGTCAAGCACATAGTGATGTACCGCTTATTGATGCAAAACCTTTCTGGGTTTAGCAAGGAAATAAGATTTTATTTCTCTGAAAGAACAACTTTTCATCCACACAAAATACACGGAAATGTCATAACACTGCACTATCTTGTCTGACAGCAAAAAATGTAGAAATAGCTACTCAATATACACGAAATATACCCATGGGTTTATATGTTATATGAAGTAGAAATGGCAACTAATTTATATGCATGTGTCTGAAATGCAGATAAAAATATCAAGAAAAGATACTAATTTACCCCCAATGGGGCCCACTTATATAATGTTTCAAATTTGCATTTGGAATTTTATGGTATGGTAGATTCTTGTTATTACTACCACAACATGTACATATTTTTCAGAAATTTCCAACATTTGCAAAGAGCGTTTTTCAAACTGGGTGCCCCAGTGGCACTAGATGGTTGGGTGCATTGGATACTTTCCCACTGAGCATGGTGTTTCCTTTTCACGAATACGCAAAAGACTTGCGTATCATTGCATTGATAGAAGAAAATAGAGTTTGAAGGTTACAGAGCTAGTCCTCCAAGCACATACGCGAAGGCGGCGTGAGCAAGACATACAAGAGCGCATAAGAAGGGTAGGTGCGACCCTACTACAAAGGTCTAAGTCTCGTCGATCAACTGGCTAAGCCCCTTGGCCCCTGCGCGAGCCCAAGCTCTAGCATCGTCCTTGATACATTCAGCGAGCGCATGGAAGGCCTGTCCCCATTGAACACACAACCGTTGCGGTGTTTCCACAGTCTCCATGCCGTGAGGATGATCATGGAAAAGAGCATGGTGTTTCCATATGAAGCTATATGAAAATAAAAATAAAAACTCTAAAACACACAGGACACAGACATATCTTACTATCTTAGCATATTAAATAGTGAGTGGCAAACATGCAGAGCAACCTAGATGTTATATTATCATTACTTCCATGAGTGAGTGCAATAGCTGTTTCCATCACACTACCAGCCATAACCTTAGCAGTTAGCAAGCCCAATTTTCCAAAAACAGTAATTATTTGCAGGGACATAAAACCGAAAAAGTCCCTTCCCGCATGACCACGCTGGAAATGTAAAATAGCACTCGGAGAAATTTGGCAAACCCATAGTTTCCTACAACGATGCTAATTAGCAAACAAAAATTAAATTTGTTCACAAAAACCTAAATCGATATCGGCTTTTTGAGGGACCCTGACCTCCCTTGTCGACACCATCGACATCAACCTGCAGCTCCTCAACCAAGTACTTGCACACCTCCAGCCGCTCTCTGCCGGCAGCAACATGTAGTGCCCCGAGACCCTGTAGCATGCCGGCATCTTCCACCCTCAGCGCCTCCACCGCCTCCTTGAGGCGGCCCCTGCCCATGTCCAGCATCATCAGCAGGTCTGCAGCGGATTGGACGCAAGTAATCAGCACTCAATCTCCCAACCAAGATCCGATACCTGGAGAGCGCCACGTACTCTTGAAGCGGGGGAGATCTCCGTCAAACGCCGCTCCAAATACCATGTTCAGCATCGGCCCACCGACTGCGGCACGAGAGGCAGCGTTACCGTTTGGGGTTAGCGATGAGATATTGGGGTTGGGGTTGGAGTTGGAGAGGCCTGGAGCCAGGGAAGAAATGTGAAGGAGGCGC